AATTAGATACATTTGCATGTGAATATTTAAAATTTTGATTCCTAAACTCTAACCTCTGGTGGAGACATTATGTAACTTTAAAAGTTATTTTTCTTGTTGAAGATAACTATCACTTCAACCAGCAATCTTTTAATCAACAAGTCATTGCGTACCCTTCAATCTTAATTGTGTCATCAAAATAAATGATACATCAGTCGAGAATATTTTCTACTGATACAAAGTTTTACCAATGAATGAATTCACTCACACTTTCCAGTTCACTCCTTATTTCCACGGTGTTCAAATATTTAAATTTTAAAGCCGAGAAAAAAAATGTAAAAACATTTATCCACGTAAGTTGAAATCATTTCCCCATCCAGTTGTTTTATCAGAATTTACTTTTCATTGGCCCATTACATTAATTTGTATCTTTGGATAACTTTCGCTCTTTAATGACAGTCAATAACTGTCAGTAAAAGGAGCATACAAAGTATTTGCATCGTCAAATAATTTTTGATTACACAGAAAATAAAGTCATCTTTTTTACAAAATAATATTGGAGTCTACTACCTACTAATGTTCATTTTTTCTGTTTTAACATCAATAAATAGATCTACTTAAGTCATGCTCCAGCAATGGGTGACAGAATAAAATATTCTGTCAAGATATTAGATTTTTACTGATGAAATACAATCCTTCCTTTTCCTCCTTGATTATTAAGATGACCTTATTTGAGGAGGACATGTAGGTAGATATACATGGTATAATGACAATGTAGCTATCGCAGCATGAAATCAGGAAGGGGCAATCGTGAAGCATTCTCACAAATATAAGAGAGAAGTTTTTTCTGAATTGTTACTCCTTTCTTCCTTTCTTCCACTTTTAGGTGGCAGTTGTTGTGATTGGCTCTTAAATATTGGTTTGATGCCACTTTAAAAATAACATTACGCTATGTAGACACTTCTAGACGATGGAAAGGCTGAATTTGTGAAGTTTGAACTTTTGTAATTAATTTTATTTTTGCATTGCCAAATGAATTAGTTAGGTTAAACAATATTTGTACTGATAAATAATAATTTTTTTCAAGTATTATGTTTGATACATTATTCGTTTTGAGACTATTTTCTTCGTAATTTTACTTCTCTTGTAGATATTCTCAGTTTTGTCTGTTTGATGTGTGTAGTTTGCAATAAATAATCAATGAAAGCTTTGTTGATTTCCCCCTTGTTTTTGTTCTCTTAAATTCTGTGCACACTCCCCAGTTTAATATTTTACTTTGCCCCCCCCCCTCCCAACGAGCAGGCACCATCAATTTGAAGGTGAAACAAATCACATTTTGAGACGTTTCAATTTTCTCTCTTTTTTTATTGTCAGTATGAAATATATTTTAAATGAGTATTTTTAACAATCCTTCAGCATACTATTTTCTATAGTCTCAAAAATTTAAGTTTTTATATGCGTCACTCACGTTTTGTTGAATTTCCTCACCCTATTATCACACCTTTTCATGTGAAAACAGGCTGCCGAAAAAAATCAAGTTTTTGTATAGACGGAATTTCAGTCGTTAAAACTGTCTTTTTTTACATCAGGTGCATTGAAAGAATTTCTCTTTTTTTTAAAATAGATAACTCTCAAATGTTGCTATGTGGCATTCAAAATTAGTCAACCTAAGTAAGTACTTTTTATGAGCATGAACTTTTGCACATGGCTCTTGTATGAAACAAAGGCGAGAAGATTTTGGTTTCTAATCGCAATTTTGTCTCACTATTTCTGTCACCCCAGCGCTCTGTAAATTGAGTTTAATTTCAGCAGGACTAATACTCATCGTCCCATTGATAAATTCAATTCTCTGAATAGTTTTTTCCTGTCCAGATAAATTAAATCTACGGGTACGTAAATCTAGGTTACGTACTACCTAATTCTTTTCAATTAAATCTGAATCATTCATAAAGTTATACAGTATATGTAAGTAATCCAGAAATTTATTTGACTCTTTTGATTCTAAAATTCAAGCACCAATTTTCAGACACATCATTATTCTTTTCTAAACTTTGTTGTTGTACTTGTCAGAAAAGTAAAAACTAAAAAAAAATATATATATATTTACAGGTGATTATTTCGTTACTTATAACCACGTAGATATTTTGTACACTGATGTTTAGTTGTTGTAGGATATTGTTAATCATGCCCTTTTAATTGTTATGGAAATGCATTTCTCTTTCCCTTCACTTTCTTTCTTTTAATTATTTTTCCCTCAGTCATTTACTCCTTTTGGTTAGTTTTACTGGACCCACAGTTGATAATGCTTTAAACTGGGTGCTCAAAGTGTTTTGAAATTTTGTTAATGTTTGTTAATGTTGTTCCGTTCATAAATATGGATTTGAGACATTCATTTCGCTTTTTATTTCATACTTTGCACTTCTATCCGTTTCTTTTCTTTGTGTCCAAGCAACTCGTTTTGTGATCATTTTGTTACAATAAATTAAATTCTTGAATAATTTCTTGGAATTGCTTTTTCTCATACCTCCAATATTATACCTCTATGACTCTAAAGCTCAATTAAGTATTCAAGCATTTCTTTCAGAGTAGAACAATAAAAGTGCTTTTGTGATTTTTCATATGTAAAAAAATTTTCGAAGCAGGCTAAATGAACAACTAAATACATCAAGAAACAAGGAGAGGTTGTGGTCACACCAGGGCCGGATTTACCTACTTGCCGCCCATGGGCCGCCTGTATTTTGCCGTCCCCTTCTCATTCGTTTTGAAATACCAATAAAAACCATCAAGTAAGCGTGTGAGCGGGGGAGGGGTGCATAAGAATCGTTTACTCGTGTTGGACATATTTTTTGGGAAAGCCCTGTTAACACTACAAGCAAAAGTTCACGAAACTTTGCGCGAAAGTTAAGTTCCGTAAACTTATCTCTGTGTGGACAAGGCCTTCCATTCATAAGAAATGAACGAACAAATTATGAAAGAACAAACATAGATGTAGTTTAATGATTTTAACTTCCGCAGCCGCGCCGCGCAGACTGCACTGTGTTTGACGCAATGCGTGAAGTATTCACGTAGTCTTGTAGGCGCTATCCGTTTCACGCTGACCGCAGTGACCGCACTGTGTTTGATGCAAGGCGTGAAGTATTCGTGCAGTCTTGTAGGCGCTAATATGTGTTACATGCCAACCGCCGCGCCGAGGGCTTCTCCTTTTCATCTCAAGTCCTCGTCATCATTTCTCTTTAAGTCGCGCCGTTCCAGGCCAAATTGCGTGTTTGGGTTCTCTCTTAACTCGATTAATGAAAGGTACTGTCTCTTTTATCACTGAAAGACAACAAAATTAGAAATTACTATACTCTCAGGAAATGAGAGATTTTGTCGCCTTTTCTCGTTTGTAATTTTTTTTTTCAAAATTCGATTTTTTTTCAAAAAAAATTGCAAAATTTGCCGCCCCCTTGATTTGCCGACATGGGCCGCGGCCCATGTGGTCACCCCCTTAATCCGGCCCTGGGTCACACACCTATGCCTTCGAAATGTATGTAAAAACCAGCTCTGGAGAAATCATATTAAAAAGAAAAAAAAAATCATATTGGGTATTTGCATTCTTGTTGTATGCCTAGTTGCGGTATCGATGTGTAGAGTGCGAAAAAATTAGTGGCAAGTTTTAGCAGCGAAACATTTTTGAGTTTGGAAAAATCTGAAATCGACTCGGAAGAAAAAATATTGGTTTCATTGCTTTATGTGGCTGACGCACCCGTTTTTACTGATTTTTACAAAGAGAAGAACATTTGTTGTAAATCTTTCGGCTGTACCGCAGAAGCACAGCTCGTAAAATAAGTACTTCGTAAAAAAGTGTAAAATTGATCATTTTTACGAATTTGAAAACTTAACGTTTCAAAAAAAAAAAATCATCAAGGAATCATAAAAAACTGTAATTCAAGAATTTTAAATAAAAAGTTCATGAGTAAAGGGGCCACTCAAGCACTGCACAGGGCATTATGTCCGACCATTTGATCTCCTCCCGCCCTCCCCTCTGCAGACACTTGTGAGCTAACTTCTCACCTCTCCCCCATTTGGAATTATGTGAGCCTGGCTTGGCCCCCCTCCCACAAATTTTTCGGGAAAATAACGGAAAGAACTACCCCTGGTTAAATTCAAGTTTTACTGAAATCGATTGAACAGGAGCCGAGATGGTACTTCAAGCCACAACTGCCACCTGAGATTTTCGAATTTTGGGGATTTGACCAGATATTCAAGTTTCCCGTCCAAAAATACCCCCCCCCCTTCCCCGAAATTCCACTAAAGTCGATTGATTAAAAACCAAGCTAGTATCTTAAGCCACATCCGCCGTCTTGGATTTTCGACTTTTTGGGATTTTTTTCTGCACTTAGCTCCTTTTGCTTTAATTCAGTACCGCGGATTTCGAATTTGGTTGGATGGAACTTTGTGCAATCTCCTCCATATCTCGCTCAATTTAGATCATTCTTATATGTTTTAGGAGTTTTGACATAACATATCTTAGAAAAAACTCTTCGGCTTTCGAACAAGCCATAGAAATCAAAAGTAGGTCCTTTACTGTTGAGAAACGCCCATAGTTTAAAACTATGTATCTCCACTGAAAAGATTGAAAATTGCACAATGTACTGTTTGGCAGAAATTCGTCCATTTAAATATACTGAAGCGACTCAATTACAATCATAAAGTTTTAAAGCTCCCCCCCCCCTCATTTAATTTATTATTATTATACTAACCTAGGTGAGATTTTCACATGAACGGTGGGTAAAGACGCAAAGAAATTAACCTGATTACTCGTTGTTACAGAGCATTCTGACAGTAACATATCAATAAAAATATTCGGTACTTAAATTAAAGTGAATTTGTGAGGACATTTTCTTCATTGAATCATGAGCGGCAAGAAAAGAATTCCCCGCAAATTTAAACTTTGGCGCCAGAATTTGAATAAGACACTGTATTTTGTGTGGTTAGCCAATCAGAGCTTAGTTCGCTACTCCACACGTTTCGCCAACCTAACGCGTAAATGGCGGTCATCGATCGTGTTGGGGCATGCGTGGTGTTCTTTTACATAAGGTATTTTCCCAATTCTCGATGAGGTTATATTGTTTTCTAATCTGCTTTTAACATTATTCAGTGATCCTACTCAATTCATTTCAATCTATTTTACGCAATTCAATTTCGATTGTGAAAACTAATGTCACGCCTCTCAAGAATTTCAATCTTCGATGACCGCTACTATGTGACTACAACCACAGAAAATCATTCGCCAGATCAGTCTTGGAGCTCCACCGAAAAATTTCGCGTCAGGCATTTGATGTCTTCGTTATCCTCAATGTTTTTGTTACGTTTTTATCGTGTTTCATCATGGCTATTAAATATCACGGCCTACTAAAGTACTACAAAACTTCTCATTGATCCTAAATGTGTTGACCTGATTCAAGACCAAAGCCACAATCTGGCATGTTTTATATTTGAATTTTTTTGCGCGCTGGGCCACGAAACAATCGGCGGTAGAATCTACCCTCCGGATTTTAACCAAGTATGTATTTTACAAGTAGCCACACCGACTTATCCCTCTTTTCATCCAGCATGTACTTTCAAAATGTGTTACTCATCTGCTGATATTGATTGAGATCAGCAAGAAAGTGAACACCGCTATCATCCAGATAAAATGGGAAATCTTCAAGGATCCGATCAACGTAATAAGACTTCAAATTTCTTAAAAGTGAGGAAATCACCTGCTCGGGAGAAGAACAAAAGTAAGAAGGGACATAAATTCAAATCCTCCAGCTCAAGCCAAGGCCCAAGTAATGAAGTTGGCAGCATTGATGTTAATGACCAGTCAAAATCAGCTGACTCCAAGGTCACATGTGACACCATTGTTGTTGATCGCGAAAATGTAAACACTAATCTTGACGTTGAAAGTTTGTGCAATCAAGATGATAAAAGTGGCTTTACAGCACCAGTGAATACTTTAAATCCAGAATCAAGCTCAGATGACTCAGTTTTTATCAGTCCTCAATTGCAGTCGCCTTTATACAGCATTGAAAGCAACTACCTAGATGCGAAAGATGTTTCGAACAGCTTAGAATTGCTTCACAGTAATAAGAATTTATTGGCCGATACTTCTCCTACTTCTGTTGATGGTGATCCGCCAAGTTCAAATGAAAGTACTGCCATGGATAGAAAAAAATCTCCCAACTTAAATAAGGCAGAGGGAGGACAGTCCAATTCTAGTAAAGATAAAATGAGAGCCCTTGATATCCTCGATTTTAACAGTAATGCCGACAGTGCCAATAGTCCTCAAAAAACTACCTTTGTGTCAAAGATACCATCACCAAGCTCTTTTACGCTTCATAAACACAGGAGAGTTGAGTTGACTCCAACCAAATTAAAGGACCATGTGTTAAGTACATCAGGAGGTGAGTGTTTGTTCATTCCTCAGTAATTAATAAGGTAACTTGCCATTTGCAGGTCCCTTAGTGTTACTTTATTGAAGCTTCTACATAGGTATCAAGGAATTTTACAATTAAGGTGTAAGAGACAAGTGAGCAATTGAATTTCACATAGCTGCAACTATGCGTGCAAGTTGTGGTACAAGGCCTAGCCGGCAAAGAAAGTATGATTTGGTCGAGTTTATAAAATAGTCAATCCTGTTGCACTTGCACCTTCAATGTCAGACCCTAGAGCGGACTCATCGTATGTTGAGACAAATGTCAATCTCTGATCACCTCTAAATCAGTATCACTCAGCAGGTTAATACTTGCAGTTAGGTGGCATCACTGATGAGCGGTGACCTAAACAATACTTGACTTTTGTCTCGACACACGATGAGTCCGCTCTAGCCACTTAAATATTTATATACAAGTGTTTCAATATGTGTTTAACACATAGTTGATAAAAGATTAGGGATTTTATCTACTTGAGAAGTTATTTTGATGATGTACTTAGGATCTAGTACTCTGCATTGTTTTAATCGTGCAGTATCTACAAGTACATACGTCAACAGGATAAAGAATGCTGCAAGATGGCAGCAAGTCTGAAACACCGAACCCGAGATCTGTGTTCCTAAAGTTTCACTGATGATATGTAGGCACTAATAGTTTGACTGGTTTTTGAAATGCTCTGATGGTCGGGAGTCATCTCTATAGTTTTGCATCACTTGTCCATCTTAACTTGATACTTGAGAATCTGAATAATACTCCTCATTGTTATAGAAAATGGACAAGTCTATCAGAAACACACTAAATGACATCATGTTTGAACGGAGGGAAAGAGACAGTATTCTTCCACAAGACTTAGTAATACAGAAAAAGTTTAACAACTACTTTCACATTTAAAATGTTTTTTCCCAACCTTGGACTTTTGACAGGTCAAAATCTACGACAGATTGAATTATTCAAAACCACTTCAATTTAATTTTTTTCCAAAATGCCACTTCATGCGTCTCCGTTATACTCGGTCCAAATGAGATAAGGAAAATTAATCCAGTTGTAAGTGCAGCTGCAGCTGATAATTGTCATTAATGAAGAGTGTCACACAAATATCATCTTATCAAAAAATTTGGGGCTAAATTACCAAAATAATCTGATGAATCAGATAAACTCAGGAAGTTCTCGGTTGGCTGATCGAAGAAACCCGTCAGTATTACAGCAACACTGTGCATTGTAATGTCATATTCATGGTTCAAAAGTTCATGCAGAAGTGAAGTCAGTCTTACTTCGCTTTTCTTTTCTTATTTTTTTATACCTAATCATCAAAAAAGACACCTTTTCAAAACTCTCACAAAACATCGTAAAGTGATTTAGTCAGTAGACCTGTAGATGTCCCATATGTATATTTCCTCAGTGGACTAGCTCTCTATCTTATCAAGCAGGAAATATAGCTTTGTTATTACTTCAGCTCCTTCATTTTCTGCTACCTATTTTATCGCTTTCTTAAAGATTCCCAGTACTTTATCTCTATTCTGCTGTTAAAAATTCAATTTTTATTTTATCAATGGGAAATTGCTGTTGTCGTGTTAAAAAATCGCGAAAAATTAATGAAAAGCCATCGCTTTCGCCCAAAAAACTCACAAGAAATATAGGTTAGTGATGACTCGAAATGGATATTCCATTTTTGACGATTGATGATCATTTCAGGGCGCTAGATGACATGACTACAGAATCTGTAGTCCAACCAATCCTAAGAACTTGCCATCCTTAAGATCTTATCATTTAACAATCGCCCATTATTTCGAATTAAGTACTAGCCCCCCCCCCCTTTTTATAGAAAAAAAATAACATGAAAAGTCTGAAAATCGGCTGGAAAAGAACCAATTTTATTGGTGAGCATAATTTTTGTGGGAGGCTTATGTAAGATTATGTTTGACCCTCTTCTTTCATATTGACTTCTAATTCAAATTAGTCCTTGGTTGATATTTCCAAGCTTTTATTCTCAAAAATAAGACGGAAGAAATTGTTGCCAACAACATTCATTTGTATTTTATTGAAATTTCAACAACCCTCCACTGTAATTTTCATTTTTCTTATTATTTCATGTTCTAGGTCACTCAGCATCCATAGGGGGTGGAGATCTGCGAAGACATTCATCCATCAATGATGTACCTCTTGACAGCAATGTCTTGCGGAAAGTTGCAAGTCTCACTTTGGACAAAACATCCTTGGAACAGAGAATCTCCAAACCTAAATTCATTCCTGAAAAACTGGGCTTTCAAGCATATGAAAAGTTTGAAGGTAATTAATCAGTTAAAAGTATTTCCTAGGCTGCAGACTTCTACTTTTCCACATTGGCATGCGCCCAATCACCGGCCTTTCTGATTTTCCTCATCAACTTTCCACCAAGTTTCACACCATTTTGAAAAATTCCTTCCCGCTCTTGACACCCCTTCCCTTTTGACCTTTTCTTTCTCTTTCTAATTTTTGCCTTGGGTCCCTAAAAATGATTTCTTCCTCCACATTTCAAGGGCCTCGTGTGCTGCTGTGGTTTAAAGGTCGAATTTTACTCAAGTTCCGTAAAAATTGTCCTCATGATGTAACGTTGAAGGCATCTTCAAACCTCCTTCAGTCACAATTTAAATCATACGGAACCTCCCTTAATAAAATTTGTTAAAGAAAGAAAATTTTGTTAGAGTTAATAGTTGTAAAATAGTTGTTAAAGAAAAAAAATTGTTTAAGAAAGGTCTGTTAGGTTTGCTGGTGGTTAGGAAAACGGAGAAAGTCTGGGAATTTGCGGTGACTGGGAAAAGTCAGGAAATTTCGATTCTATAATCTTCTATTTTTCATGATCTTCCAAATATTTACCCTTTCTGGACATTTTAAGGCTTGTCATTGAAACCAGCTACTATAGCTGGTTGTATACTCTAAAAGCTGTGCCTTTTTCCATAAATTGATCTCCAAACAAGGGAATTTTGTTCTCAACCTAGCGAAAGTCAGCGAACAGGTATTTAAAAGAAAAATATAAGTAAAGATTTTAAAAAAATTATCAGATATTTTGTTGGAAGATCAGGGAAAGTCAAGGAATTAGAAAATTTTGCAGTCAGGGAAAAGCAAAAAAAGTCAGGGTAAGCTAGGAAATTTGAAGATGAAGAAATAATGGCAACCCTGAGTATAAAGTCAAGTGCAAATGTGAGGTGCAAAGTGCTCAGTTTATTCTTGAGATGAAAAATAAATAAAGAAAAAATAAAATAATGAAAAATAATAAAGATAAGAAAGAAAAATATTTGCAAATAGAAATGAACTGATAGAACTGAAATTCAAATCATTAATCTTACTAAAAACTTCAAACCAAGATATCAAAAATAATTAATTACTAACCATTTTATTAAAAATCTAAGAAAAGGTGGAAACCCAGAAATTCTTTAACCATAAATGAAAATTATAACTTTTTTATTCAAATTCATAGAATTAAACTTAAATTGATTGATATAGAAAATACCATATTTAGATAGTACACTAATTAATCACCAGAGTATAGGTGTGGTATTAGTATAGTATCCGCATGAAGTGGCAGCATAATCCAACCTTTCTAAGCTTCATAATTGACAGATTGAACCTTTAAGTACTTACCTTTGGTGAAAATTACATTTTTTGAGCTATTGACTTCAAGCTACCTCAGCTTCAGTTACATTAGTCATTGCTGAGTGTTTTTTGTTCAAAACTGCTCAGAGATTTTGTAGAACTCTATGTTGTCCAAACTGCTAAAGCACAGAATGCTATGTATACCGGACCCATCCATTATATTTCAACCTCCCATACTCTTGTAGGTCCTTTTTGGGCTTTCCTCTTATAGGGTTTTGTTTTCATGTGCGAGTAAGAAATGGCATCATCATTTGACTGGTTACGTTCGAATAATAGGGTTCTTCTATTTTTCTCTAAATGAAGTTTGTAGTGCTTATTTCATTTGGAAAGTAATCGTTGCAATTTTTAAGTAAGAAACAAAAACCTAAATAAAACAAGGCAGGAAAATAAGGTGAAGAATGAAAGAAAGAAAGAGATTATGTATCCATTTATGTATCTCATTTTTTATCATAAAGTAAATAAATGAAATAGAGTGAGAATAGGTGAGGTAACAGATTCCCCACTTTTAAGCAGTATTACCCTCTGAGCTTTGTAAATATGTTTTTTTAGTTTTTAAATTGTATACAACCAAGAGGGTATCATTTATTATGCATGCATATGTGTATGTGTGGGGAAGGGAGCATCCTACTAAAAGACTTTTCGATCAATTTCAGCTAATTTTTTAGATTTTCCAAATTTGGGTTTTACCTCTCCAACCAATGCACTTTTGGAACAAATTATAGTTTTCCCCCTATCAACAAACACCCCCCTCCTCCCCCAAGATTTCTTAATGATACCACTATGCACTATAATATCACTTATAACATCACTGTCCAACTAAGGTTTCTCTGCCAACAGTAAAACTGAGGCTTCTCTCTGAATTTTGTATGGCACTTATGCAAGAACACAATCTGCTGCCCACAACTTGTTATTGACTGATGAATCATAGAACTCACAATCAGCACCTGGCCATAAATCCACCTTGCTTCTGCTCTCCTTGATCCTTATTCTCTGGGCCTCCCCACTCCTCCCACTCTGTTTCTCTCTCTCACTCTGTTTCTCTCTGCAACGCCTTGCTCAATGCCACTGATCCATTCATTACTTTTATGCATGCTGTAGAAATTTTTATGGAACAGTATTTGTATGCAAGTATATGAGTTCAGAATTGGCAAGTCCATTAGTTGCATAATGTGTCTCCTCGCGTTTACCGATCTCAGAGTTGTTGTGATGTTTGAATACTCTGGAAAACCACCTTACAAACTCACATGTTTTGCAGGTAATTAATGTCTAACTAATTTTTAATCATCTTCCCCTCATGAACATTATTTTCTGAAAGCTACTAAACTTTTCTCGTTGAAAAAGTATCTTCTCTTTTATTGGACACTTACCTCAGATTTTGTGTTTGAATGTCAATAAATTTTCTGTCATGCTTTACTGACTTTTTTTTATTTATTCATTTTTTGTGTTGTCTTTTTTAAGGTCAAATGCTCATTAATTGGTTTGTGTCTGCATTTACGGAAGAGAACAATCTGCGGCTGAATCTGAAACCGCAAGAAATTCGAACGATAATTGCTCAATTTTGTACTCATTTATTAGCAGCTGGTGTGCTACAGCAGATTCCGGACAAAGATGCACCTCTGTGTGATGTTTTTCGGGTTGGTCTCTTTTTTTCATTAATTTTTAAATAGCTCCTAGTGCCATTGAAGTGGTAACAAAAAAATATCTACGTCTGCTGAGATTTAGTAACGCAAAACTGTTTGCGATGATGCTATTTTTGGACTTTTCAAGGTTTTTCAAAACAAATTTTACTCAAACCCTGTCATTTTCTATTACATAACTTCACACTATGATTGATTGCATTACTATGTATATGATATAATAAAATCATACACCCTCAAGAAATACATGGTCAAAATATTTCCCATAAATCTCTGAGAGTTTCTATTATAATATTCTAGGGCCGGGACAGTTTTGACTCGAGCTCAAATTTTTCACCAGGCCGACAGAAGAGCGGGGATAAAGAAACTAAAAATAATCATAAATTTAGTTGTAATTTTTTTTTCAAAAAAAAATTTCCAGCTTTTTAATTGCGTTTCCGTGTCTTAATTCGGTTTGCATTCAATTTTGTTTGTGCCAAATTGCATTACTGTATTGCTAACCTCGTCAAATGGCCTGTCAGTTATAGGTACTGTTCCCCCCCCCCCCCCCCCCCCCCCCNAGGATTAAAAAAAAAAAAGTTGCCAATGCAAATTATGTCAGCAATTTTTACTCTTTATACCTTAATAGGAACTGGAACTTTCTTTTGTTTGGATTTGCTGGGATAAAACTAAACCACCAGCTTTGTGTCGTGAATAATTAAATCAAGAACGTAATAATAATAAAAAAAATGCACATGATCATTCTCAGAAGAAATGATTTTAGAACTGTGATCTCTGAATGTAGGCATTGATATTACCGCCTAATGGAATGTTTTACAAACATTTTGGTACAAAACCGCTAAACCCATTGGAGTTACAACACTCTGAATGTTGCAGTTAAAAATCTTTTTCAAGTTTAAGTAAATGTACATGTTCAGGGCTCAGAATTGTTGTTGAGAGTAGGAAAATTGTTGGGTTAAGAATGAAGTGAACACCCTCTATCAGCACAAAAATAAGCCAGACTGCTCACAAATTTTTCGTTGAGACGTTTGAGAGTGCCAAAGGATAACTCAAATTCTGTTTTTTCGACCGAACCTTAGACTGAGAAAAACTGCTTTCCTGAAGAACTTGATCCATTTTCTTATGGATAATGTTGTATCACAAAAATGGCCCCAATTCAAAAGTAGAAGCAAATCATCCTTTCAAGAAGTATTAAAAAAAATATCTACACACCGTAAAATTTACTTTCCTGAAACTCATCTTTATTTATTTCGAATTTATTGAATTAATTAATCCTAATTAATCTTGAATGTTCGGCTTGTCATTATTTCTAGCCAAATCTCATGTACTATTGGTCTCACGCCGAAGCACCAAGTATATCTACCCCTACTCCTGGTAGATTACCATCAGTCTCTTGGCCACCTGCCGCCAACACTTCTAGTGATAATAATGGGAACCACCTGGAAAGCAACGGTAAGTGTTCATAACTTACCAGCAGTTCTGTCTATTAGTCAGATAAATTAATTGACCAAGATATAATGTGATAATGAAATTTTTGCCTTTCTTAAGTAACGGAGAGTTTAAATGATCATCATTTGTGGCGATGGCTCTTTAAAATGTTTCAATGTATCCTTTGCATCTTGTATCCAATGGTCTTTTTTTGTATGATATCTATTATGCCACCTAGTCGGATGATGATAATAATATTTTATGGTTACTGCAGATATTAAACAGGGTCTCTAGCATCAGGATTTGAGGAAAAATCGGTCGTAAAATCAGGATTTGAGAAAAGTCGGCTGTCCGATAGGATTTTTTTATGCTTTCGCGTACGCTCATGCAGAAATTTTAATTTTTCTCTCCAATGAAATTTGGAAAAATTATACGATCAGGATTTGGCAGTCAAAAATCAGGAAAAATCAGGATTTACCAAAATGAAAAGAAACTAGACACCCTGTTAAACGAGAATTGCATCCATCATTTTGTGCTCTTGCTGAATCAGTTGAAGTCTGGCTCAATATCATTGGTGACAAGTATTTTTTCTCTGCCTCCTGAATGTTCCTCCACCTCCTCCCCCTCAAATTTGGTTGAGCAAACTCCCTGAGAATACTTGCCCCCTATTTTACAAAATAACTAATCATATATATTCACCAATTATTATTCTATCCAAAGGAATAAAGCATCTGTGAGGCTATTTTCCCTGGAAAATCATATCTTGCTTTAGTTAAGCTAGCTGTGGTAACAGCCAAGGCCACCCAGTAAGATCAGCAATCTTTATCAGGAGGTAATCATGGTCTGTGACATAGATAAGAGTGTGAATCGCCCACATTTAGTGAGGTTTATCACTGTTTATCTAATGAAATCTTGCAATTAGTTATGTTTTCCAACCTTCATAAATAGATATTATCTCTCCCAATCTTCAGTGTCCCACTTTTTTGTGTTGTTAAACATGAATTTCCAGATACTTTTCAAGTTATTGCTGTAATTTCACTGATAATTAATTATTATTATGGGTAAGTAGAGTCAATCATTTTATTGTATACACATATTAACCTTCAAAAATGGCTTTTATGTATACTCACTTACATTTTTTTTCTTTTCTCGAAACTGCTCATACCATTATTGAATGTTGAAGAATTCTATCACATTCCTTAAATACCAATCAGATTAATCGTACAATCTCCTCCCCAATTTTTTTTCTAGGTAAAAACAGTATGGATCGTATCTTTGACAGTAGCCAAATGATCACACAACTCAGTCAAGAACTTGAAGAGCAAAAAAGACGAACAGCTGAACTTGAGGATCTTAAGGATCAACTTAAAAAACAAATTGAAGAACTCACAGCGAAGGTCAGTTTCTTTCTCTGTGTTAAGGACTGATTATAAAGCACATCTTGTATAAAAGCTACCAGTGTTACGTCACGGAAAAGTAATGTAAATCAATTTGTTCTCATTGGTAGCATTGAGAAACATTATGTCATTGTTGTTGTTTGGATCCAATTTGATGTAACAGAGAATCCCTATGGTGATGTAACGACTAATTGTTTCTCCAAAAAAGGGGAAACCCAGTCCCATTGAGAGGGAAAGGGTCTAGCCCTGTGTTGTATCATCATACTAAATGCTAATTTTAAAAATACTTTTCGTTATAATTAAAATATTAACTAAAATCATCATTATTACTCATCATATCATATGTACTCATATGTAAATCATATTTACTCTAAAAATGTGAGATGTAAGAAGGAGGTATCAAGTAAAGTGTGATGTACTTATTATTTGGGGGGGAGGGGGAAGGACCTGACTTAGAAGATATAAGCGCCACAGAAACATGAGATAGATTTAAAATTCTAAATTTCAGCATGAAGTACTCTGTGGATGTCTTTACCTCCCCACGTTGGACACATCACAGTTTTGGCCTTTCCCTCTCACGTTGCTTTTCCTTCTATCCAGCCTCTCCAGCAGGAAATTACGATCTTTTTGAATCTCTTATGTGCAGGGTTAATGCTTGAATAGGAAGAGGGTTTCACACAGGAGAGTGGGCTGAAAGGGGATTTCTGCCTGACTTGCATTTGTGGTTTGCAACATCCACACAACAAATCTGATATGGTTCTCCTCTAGCAAAGTCTCTGCTACTTCTCTGTGTTCCTGAAGTATTTTCCTCGATACACTTGAAGCTAGTTAGAGGACTATTTTTTTGCTGTCAAGAGCCCTGAGCACTAGACAAAAAATAGTTTTATTTACGTTAAAAAAATTACTTTTCCCTCTCAAAGTGCAGCAGTCTGCCAGTCTTCACATTTTTATCCCAATATGTACTGCCTCAGACAAACAATCAAACCGTTATCAACAATGGGCCTGTTGCAAACTTTTGCTAGAGCAAAAATAAGAGTTCTTTCTTATAGATAATGCCTCAAAAATCACGATGAGCGCATCGGCAAAGTCTGAAATGCACTCATAACTTCACAGTCTGCATAAGAAATTTGCGGTTTTTTGAGCTTCTCGCTTCAAAAGCGATACTACGGCACAGGTGAACATTTTGTAAGAGGAGTCGTTCCATCGTCGGCAATACTCATCATGGCCGACGCCAATCCGCCAAAACACGTGTGATGAGACGAGATAATACCTGAACTGGATTAGACCAGATAACAATCGGCGTGTTTTAACGTTCATGCTTTCCACGCCCGCATTGATTGACCTTGAACTCTCCTCGAATTACGCGCAAAACTGCGTGCAAGTGTCGGCCATGATGAATATCGCCGACGATGGAGCGACTCCTCTAACAAAATGTTCACCTGTGCCGTAGTATCGTTTTTGAAGCGGGAAGCTTAAAAAAACGCAAATTTCTTACGCAGATTGTGAAGTTATGAGTGCATTTCAGACTTTGCCGATGCGCTCATCGTGATTTCTGAGGTATTATCTATAAGAAACAACTCTTATTTTTGCTCTAGCAAAAGTTTGCAACAGGCCCATTGCAACCTACCTGTATCGAATCCTTTTTTAGCCAGGGGAATTTCACTTTGCAACGTTTTAACAATTTTTTCAAAATCTGTAATGCACTTGCAGGAATATTAAAGTATTCAGCAAAGTTTATCTTTATTTTATTCACTTTCACTTTTTCAATCTCTGCTACTGCGAATTTTGAAGGAAGACTTAATGCTCCTCATTTCTGCTTATTTATAATGTCTATCAATGATGAACTGACATCTGAAATAATCGAACTTTCCCGCAGAGGCTTTGAGCCACTCAGGGTATGCCAGAGTTTCTCTTCGGATGAGGCCTCCTTTAAGTTACTGAGGTAATCTGTTAGAATCTTTGAGTCACTGAGATAGAATTGAGACCAAAAAGGGTTGAGTTATTAAGGTAAAAATTTTTGAGGCCCTGCGGTTTTTGTCCTTTTGCAGGAAGGGAAGGAGATTTTCTTTGAGTTGCAAAGGTTTTTGAGCTATGAAGATTCTACTGTATTTTGTCTCGTATCAGAGATTTTGACAGGAAAAAATGTGTGTTTAGTGAAGCTCAAAACTACTCCTAAAACGTTGTTTTCTCTACCAAAGTTTGACTTGGCTCCTTTTTGTTAATTTTAGCCAATACGTTAATTTTAATCCCAAATACTCGAATAAGCTTGTGCCTCTAAATCTGTTATTTTCAAAACTTCTTTATGAGACTAAAAACTTTGTTGACCTAAAACTTCGCTTCCACCAGCAGTTGCACAGGGTTATAACCTAATGTTATCTGTGTTTATTTTTTTCAGCTATCATCTAATCAAACAGATGAACAAAAAAGATTGCTGGTCTCCAACTATGAGAATGCGTCGCGTCAAGTAACCATCACCGATAAGAATTCTGCCGTTGCCCCGTCTCAACGACCTGTAGGATCTACCGCTGAACCACCCGTGGAAGTCAGTGAAAGATCCCCAACCAGCCCGCAGTCTCAGCCCAGTGTCTCATCGAATGTTGATCTGTCACATGAGGAGCCAAGAAGAGATTCAACATCTCCTCCTCAACCTCCTCCTTCTACTGCTCTTACCTCAAGTGTTCCTTCTCCAAATGTCTCTACCTCTCCTGAGAAAAAAGGTTCTATAACTCCACCTGTGAGCGCTCCTCCTCTGGCAACCCCCTCTCCTGCTTGTGATACAGTTGCTTCTCCCGGACCTCCACCACCACCACCACCACCACCAATGCCCGGAATTCTTGCACCATGTCCGCCTCCGCCACCTCCAATGCCTGGCTTGGATGGACCTCCTCCAATGCCTGGCCTAGATGGTCCACCTCCACCTCCTCCAATGCCAGGCATGGGTGGACCTCCACCTCCTCCAATGCCAGGCATGGGTGGACCTCCACCTCCTCCAATGCCAGGCATGGGTGGGCCTCCACCACCTCCTCCAATGCCTGGTATGGGTGGACCTCCTCCACCTCCCCCTCCCCCTGGGATGGGCGGACCTCCTCCTCCACCTCCTCCTCCCGGAATGAACTGTCCCGTGCCCCCTCCACCACCTGGTATGTGCACTCCGTTATCATCTAGAGCCAACCCTGCAGGTCTGAATTCAAATGGGATGAGTCCATCTAATGCAATGACGCCAAACAATCTCTTCTCTTCGCCAGCCCCATTTCCCACCCCACCCGTGGGCGGATGGAGTGCCCAAAGAGCAGGTAATATTTTATGTTCTATTCTTTTTGTTTGTAGACTTAACATGTTGGCAGCAGAGGTGCTTTTTTGCAAACATATTTGTGGGAGGGCACACTGTCAGCTGCTGGCAACAAACATGTATCCAAATCACAATCCTACTTAATTTTGAAATGGAGTAAAAAATTTCATGAAAATTTGAACTATAGCTAGGATACATGTCTCTGAGAATTCTTGTGGAGCTTTGAGATCTTAACTTTTGGACAGTGAGAATTATCATTCGGCGATCAAATATTCACCTGTTGCATATCAGCCTTGTCTAAAACATGTTAATATTACCTTTAACTTGAATGGCATTCAAACCTTCAAGCATTTATTTATTCTTTTTAAAATTATCTGCCAAAAGACCATTAGTCTCCGTACATTTTTCAAATTTTAAATTACAATTTTAATGCCATCCAAGAATTGATGTGAAATTGAAAAAAAAAATATATCGTTTAAATTATTTTTCCACAAGAGCCGTATCCTTTATACACTGTTCAATATCTTCCCATTTGTACTCTTTAACCTAATCTAAAATGGGAAGTAATTATTATTTCTATCAAAAAATATTATAATGGAAAAATAATTTAATCATTTCTTCTGCAGAAAAGCCGGAAGTAACCGACATTATTATTTACTCAATATTGGACAGATTTTTGTGACGTGTTCGTAACGCAGGCTCAGGACAACACCCGCCCCCACCCCCCTTATGCACTGAGTTTTTCCTGAAATGAAAGCAGGACATCACAGGGACAACAAAGACAAAAAAAAAAAAAATCATAGTTTCAGCGAGTCTAACTCACAACAATTTTAAATGAATTATTTTTACATTTTATGTCATATCCAGTTCTGTTTTACAGTTTGCACTTTTGAATCACTTATTTTTAAATCACACCATGCGGGTTTTTTTCTATTTTAAATCCTTATAGTTATAGTAATTTTTTAAAGCTCAGAAATTCAAGCCAGGTTCTGTAGGCTCTTTTTTTCTTATTTCTGCTTATATATAATTTTGTGTCACATTTTATTTTCATTTTTATTTTTAGTCCTTATCTCATCAATCTTTGTATTTTTTCCCTCTATTTAGATACGGATAACACTGTCGTTAACTTAAGCAATGGCTATGGGAATAACTTCTGTATGTATGTTTTAGAATGCATGTGAAATTTGTGTGTGTGTGAGTGTCATGCAACCGCATAAAATCGGACGTTTTTCTTGCTGTGTGCCGAAAAGAAAATTTTTCTCCTCTTTTTAAGTCAAGTTTTTTTCTTACCCGTTTATAATTTTAATCTGCACGCTTTTAAGAAAAATAGGTTGAAAAAAAATTATTGAAAATTTTTATGCCTGTGCAGCAACATTTTCATCTTTTCAACCAAGAATGGATTACTTTTTTGGAAAATATCTCCTCTTTTTTTCCTTGTTGTGTGTTGTTTTTTTTTTCGCTAACAGCTTTTTATTCACAGTGTGCATGATTTATGAAACGCCCTCCAACATAGTTAGTGATGATCTTCCTACATTTCCTTTACTTCCTTCATCAGCCAGATACTGTCTGCCCTTTCTTCGACCAAAAGTTAATTTTCCCCTCTTTTTAACGCCAGCCATGAGTGTCTTAAGTGTCTATTACTTTGCTTCCGCAATTGAATTCACAGTTGCCCTTCATGGTAAAGAAATTACTTGAAAAAAGATACTAGCTCATCTGCACTGGGAAATGTGTTACATGCATAACCGCTACTACTCATAACTACTAGTGGATATCAGAGAAAGTTTTCTTTTCATTGGATAATTGCAGTATGTTATTTTATTATAAACTCAAATTTTTTTCTTGTAACTTAAGTTGACATAATATACTGTCCGAGTGTAACTGGGGAAAATTCCATATGAACATTTGAGAATTGCCAACATTCCTCCGATAAAATTTTCATTTCTAAGATCAGTTATACATTTTTTTCTATGACATTTTCAGACACTTTGGATCAAATTACGAACTAAATCCTCTAAATAAATGAAAAAAATTTTCTCTGAAATTCGTAATTCGTCAAAAGAAATTGGGCAACGTCTGAAGGCTCATACAGCGGGTTTCCTTAGCATGGCAGAATATAGCTCTCCTGTAAAGTTTTACTTTGTGCTCGTAGGCAGATCCCTTCCCCTGTGGACAGCAACGATGGGTCTGGAGTCTGTTCATGTTTTTTTTAATTCATTCTCTTACACCACTGATCGATTTAAGCCTCCTGTAATTCTTTCTGATTTGTTTTCTTTGCTTGAAATGACGGTAAAAATCGATTTTGAAGTAGCCAAAATTTGATCCCATTGATTTGATCGATATTTTTGGCAGTCTGTTGTGATTTAAGCATGCAAAGGAGTCCGCTGATTGGCTGAAGCTTAGCCAAAGACATGGCCTTGTCACATCATTAGGACTGTTGGCCTCTAGTAGAATAGAGTATAATCATTTTTTTCTTCCGTTAAAAGTACTTTTTTAAAAACAATGGACTTTTTGTTTTTTTCATGAAATTTTATAACTAGAGCAACTATCAGATACCCTGCTAAAATGTTATGCCATTGACTCATCGGGGGGATTTAACTGAAATCAGTTGAGCTGCAATTCACGTCGCTTAATTTTCTCTCTATGCCTTTTTTTTTTTTTTTTTTTAACATTACACTAGACAATATATTCCTTTGAAACTCTCTGTAAATTTCCCTTTCCTTCTATTAAAATCAATATTTACCAATAACCAATTATAATTCTAGGTTTGCGAAAGAAACCCGTTCTACCTCCATCACCTATGAAGCCTCTCTACTGGACCCGTGTCATAATTCCAGAAACTCAGGAACAGACTGCCTCAGAGTAAGTTGTCTAGATGCACATGGATTTTTCAAACTCGGTCATTCTTGGTATGTTATAAGATTCTCTTCTGTTTCAAAAGTGAAAGCACTTAGCTATATCCACCCATGGGGAAAAGAACTTCAGTGAGCAGCAAGAAACCTAAAATTCATGTCTGAATGGAGAAGCCATGTTCCCTTTCCATAAACCACACATGATTGTTATTCAGTAATAAAGAATATTGTTCTAAATTTCAGTTTGTACATTTTGACTCGGATTTTAGATTTCTTTCTCTGATAAAAAATTAACTTCCGTTTTTACTTATTGTCTCAGTAAGTGAATGATCAGAAATCTTATTAATGATATTCATCACTCAATCTTACTACGTATTTAAGCATTGCACAGAATGATCCACTACAGAGGATCCAGTTTCAACGTTCTTGAATTTTAAAAAATGCTGAAACACTAAACAAAAAAAAAAAAAGCTCGGAAAGAATTTGAAATGATTGCTGTCTTGGAATATCTTATCTAATCGACGTCCATTATTGTATTGAAATTGTATTTTTTTGTATAGAACTAATTTTTTTAAATAAAAAAGTAAGCATTGCCAATTGAAAATTTTGAATTCTTCCTTGCACCTCTCTTCCTAGGGGAACGCACAAGTGGAAATAGACTTAAAAAGTGTACCCTTTAAATTAAATGGACACTTGTTCCAGCATTTTTTGAAATCCAAAAAGCATTCTTCAGATATTTGAACTGCACCGTTTTTAATGGTGCTGCCAGTACAAAACAAAGTGACTGACTTTCGTTTATCATTTCAACTATTCTCTCCCTTTATCGAAATTTTTATAATTTATCTAATTTTTTAACGTCTGTTTGTTTGTATTAATGTGAAGCTCAACACTATGGATTAAACTTGAAGAAGCCCAAATCCCAGACGTGAATGAATTTGCTGAATTGTTCTGTAGACAAGTTATGAATCGTACACCAGCTCGAAAAAAAGTGGAAAAACCATCGAAAAAAGAAGTGAGTGCCTCCCATATAATTTATGCTCTAGTGAATGAAAGTTTCCAAAAAATACTTGATAAAAGTAAAATTTTCAAGTGATTTTATTCATTAGTTTTTTCAAAAAAAAGTGACAAATTTAAGAGGTTTGACAACACAGTGCCTAAGCACAAATGGCGCGTGTGATTTTTAGGTCGGGAGGTGACAATATCATAATGGGCCTGTTGCAAACTTTTGCTAGAGCAAAAATAAGAGTTGTCTCTTATAGATAATGCCTCAAAAATCACGATGAGCGCATCGGCAAAGTCTGAAATGCACTCATAACTCCACAATCTCCGTAAGAAATTTGCGTTATTTTAAGCTTCCCGCTTCAAAAACGATACTACGGCACAGGTGAACATTTTGTTAGAGGAGTCGCTCCATCGTCGGCGATATTCAGCATGGCTAACGCTTGCGCGCAGTTCCGCGCGTAATTCGAGGAGAGTTCAAAGTCAATCAATTCGGGCGTGGAAAATATGAACGTAAACACGCCGATTGTTATCTGGTCTAATCCAGTTCAGGTGTTATCTCGTCCCATCACACGTGTTTTGGCGGATTGGCGTCGGCCATGATGAGTATTGCCGACGATGGAACGACTCCTCTTACAAAATGTTCACCTGTGCCGTAGTATCGTTTTTGAAGCGGGAAGCTCAAAATAACGCAACTTTCTTACGCAGATTGTGAATTTATGAGTGCATTTTAGACTTTGCCGATGCGCTCATCGTGATTTTTGAGGCATCATCTGTGGGAAACAACTCTTATTTTTGCTCTAGCAAAAGTTTGCAACAGGCCCATTGATATGAAATACTTGCATTTGGAAAGATCTTGCATTTCCTGAATTGGGAGATTCAAACATTGAAACATGGTTTTGTGAAATGTGCATGAAACTGAAACAAAAGGATTTCCATCATGATACGATTTAAAGACTTTTCCTGGTCTCTCAAATATCTTTTTACCATCACTTCACTCGATAAAATCTTCCACCAAAATGAAATAGAAACCTGTAAATCATATCGCCACCTCCTGCTTAAAGGAATGTATTTCGTCAGCATGTATTTCTATGAAAATTTTATTTTTTCATGGGAGAATCGTCACACAAAGTAGTCTGAAAATTTTAGAGTCTTTTTATGAGGGCAAGAAAAAGTCCGTGGAAATTTCAGGCAAATTCATGCAACACTTCTCCCATGAAAAAATCAAATGTCAGCAAGAAGAGCTGTAAAAGTGCGTTTGGGGCACGTTCTTCTGTGCACGAAATGGCGATTTTTCTCGATGCAGATACAGAGATACAGTACGTATGCAATCTTGCTCTTTCCCTGGATTGATATTTTTTAAGGTCCTGAGTAGCTTAAGAACTAGTTTCTTTCCTTTAATTTTATGAGGATTTTTGCTTTTCTCTTTCAGGCAGTCAAAATATTAGACAGCAAGAGGTCACAAAATGTCGGGATTCTTTCGCGGAGTCTACATGTTGATTTTACAGATGTGGAAGATGGTATTGGTTTTTTTCCTCCTGTGCTCTAAGTGATAGAACTTAAAATAATCAGACTCAATTGTCAGGAGATTTAGATATTGACGCTATTAAAGCAAGAACTCGTTAACTCCATTCAAGAGTTTTCATTTTCTCTTCAGAGAGAATTCTCCATCGCAAGCCAACCTATTTGTTTTGCGCTTTATATTCTCAGTTTAATTTCTCAATGGTAAGACAGAGTCACCCCGTTTAGTGAGTTTATTCCTTGCTGGTATTGTTATCATTTGGCACTTTTTTGTCAGGAAAATAAATTGGAAAGAAATACCAAGAAATTTGCTGCGGCTAAATTTTGATATTTTTTGACATGATGTTTCTTACAACCTCCGGAGCACAATAAGCTTTTAAATGGAACTTTCTTAAAGCCAATGTTGAGAAAAGCAAGGCTGAAAAATGGTTTTTTTGGTCTTCCTTATTTGTTTTTTATCGGAGTTGTGGATTTATTGCCATGCTTGTGTAGACACTGCACTGTATGCTGTCATCATTTGCAGCAATTTGATTCCTCATGTCTGTCTAATTTTTGCGGCCAATGAGGAAACTCTCCTTGACTACTAACAAGGTGTGGCAACATTTGTACCAGATATTGAGTGTACAAAACCCAAAATATCCACTTTTCAACCCTACCTCTCTCAAGAATAACACATGGAAAATTGGATTCTAAAAGCTTATTTTGCCCAGGGGTCTACAAGGTAAAAAATTTATATCCAAAGATTGTCAAACAAATTTGTTCAGTTCCAACTGAAGCCAGAAATAGACGTCCTATACGCGAAATGAATTGCGAACGTGGATTTTTAACTTTAGTCTGGACATAAAATCTCTCTTTAAATTATGTAAATGGTTTTAATGTTTGATTATTTTTTGTTTCAGCTATTTACAATTTTGACACTACAAAAATTAGTTTAGAAGCATTGCAACAGATATACGAAATTGTGAGTATTAACTTTTCTGTGTTTATGATGGAATATGTATAAAAGGTAAAGGAATAAAATTGACTCGAACTGCAATTTTCAATTGATACTTATAGCATTTGTTTGATGAGGCCCAGAATTATTGTAAAAAAAATCCAACAAAAAAACGAATTCAACCAAAATCAGCCTTATGCACCTCACTTTGTCTTTTTTCCGATTGTGTTTTATTTTTTAACAAAAAAGTGAATAACATGAAGCCCGGAAAGAATATTCCCCGGATTATCAAGAAAATGGGTCGGTTGTGCCGAATTTTGTTTACATTATTCAAGCTTATATAATAGCACAAATTAGTAAGATTTGTCAAAACGCGGAAGTCCTAAGTTGACGGAGTTATCGTTGATCAAAAAGCACATGTATGATGTAATTTACCGCCGTAGTACAAACCATGTTTCCTCCTTTGTTTCATGCCGAGAAACTAGTTTAAATATGTGGACTTCTGATTAATGAAAACGGGAGGCAGAAACTATGGTATAAAATACTGTGGTGGATGCTGTTATACACCAAGTTTCTCTTTGAGCGATATCTCAATTAATGTTAGACGGAGAAACTTGGCGTTTGGAAATATCTTATTATTTTTTGCTAACATACAAGTTTGGGCCTGTGCTTTGGGCTATCTCTGATCTTTGGGCCAACTTGATCGCTGGCCACTAAGAAAAACTGCTTGCAGGCGGCGTACATTAAAAAAAGCAGGTTACAAACTATGCTAATTGTCTGCTGAGGAGTGGATTTCAGACTTTTTTTTATGTGCCCAACATAATTTTTGTGCCATTTTAACTGTAGGAAGTTTATTCACTTGGCTGTATCTCTTGCAACAGACCGATTTGATGGCCCTATTGCAACAAAGAACAACGATTTAAAGCCAAAATATTCCCTCTCATCTAATAGCAGTGAAAAAACCACCATTTTTTTCATAAATTTTACTCATTGAAATGAATAGCTAGTGAATTGGAGGAATTTCTTTTTATCTGCCTTATCACCAAATATAACTGTAAGAGCTTTGAAAATGAATTTACATCGTCTTTCTTTTTCAGAGAGCAACAAAAGAAGAGCTAGAGGCAATGAAAGCTCATCAAGAAGCAAATCCAGAAATACCTTTGGACAAACCTGAACAGTTCCTTTTAGAATTAAGTGAAATCCCTCATTTCAGTGAGAGAATTGCGTGTTTTACATTCCAAGCTCATTTCTCGGATTTAGTATCAGTAATAGGAAACAAATTACATAACCTAGAATCAATGTGTCAGGTATTTGTCTTGAAATTTTTTTTTTTAAATAAGCTTGAAGTTAGATTTCTTTACAAATTAACCCTCACGTACGGATATATTATAAATACAGAATGTTTCTATGACTGTGAAGAGGCTATTTTTTTTCTGATGCCAAAAGGCATATATCTCCTTCAGAAGGATTGATTCAAAAGCTTTGATTCCGTGATTTTTAACTGAAATTGAATGATTTTTGAGCCTCAGAAATAAGAGGGAGTTCTACTCAACAGTTGAGAAGAATTTCTTCAATTTTACTTCACTTTGAATTGTACTTATAGTCGTCCCTTAAACAGTCCCTTCCTTATAGCAGCCCCGTATGGTTTACATTCTGATTGCGGCAGGTTTAGGGTGACCCCTAACACAGCATCATTCGGAGGACAATTTTAATGAAAAAAATTCAAAATCAAATTCTTTTCATTTTGCTCAAAATTCAATAGTATACATTTGGAAGTAGTACACAAGATTACAATGATCTTTCACTGCAAAAAAATTAAAAATGTAACAATTTTAAGGTTTGTTCATATCAATCTAAAATTTTATACAATTAATAGAATTCTCTCTTCCATTTTTATTTTTTGCAGTAGAAAATCAATGTATTCACTTAGATTGGTCTATTTCCAAAATGTTATAATGTTAAATTTAACTTGAAACTCCTTAAAATTTTCATTTTTATGATGCTATGTAAGGATCATCCCAAACCTCCCTCAATCACAAAGGGGCTTCCACATGGGATCTCCCAAGGAAGAAAGCTGTAAAAGGATCGACTATTAATATCGTCGTTCCTCTGACGTACGGGCGTATCTCGATTTTAACGTGAGCCCCAGAAAGCGTGGATATATACGTAAAGCACGCTTCACGTGGGAATTGAGATACGCCCTTACGTCAGAGGAGGGGCGATATGACCCTCTATCCTATTTATTCTTGTGTAAGATTAAAAATCTCTTAAAAAGAGGGTTTTTGGCAGGTTGCTTTGTAGACGAATATAAACCAAGTTCGCCCAGAGTGAGGATTAGAGAAGACACGGAAAAGAAAGAGAGGATTCTAGAGTAGATGATATGTAATAATGTATTTATCGATTCTATTATTATCTATTTATAATTTTATCTATTTATTGGTTTAAGAAAAACTCGCCGAGGCTTGTTGTTGCTTTATGCCTCTCAAAAGAAACATACTCCTGCTTTGTTTTGTAGTTCAGTTAACAGGAATTTGTTAGTTCCTCAGTTTTCATGCCTTTTTCTGTTTTCCATAGTTACTGATGTCCTCTCAAAGCGTCAAAAAAGTACTGGCACTCATATTAGCTCTAGGGAATTTTATGAACGGTGGCAATATTCAGCGAGGTCAAGCAGATGGCTTTGGTTTAGAAATTCTTCCAAAAATAAAAGATGTCAAGAGTAAAGGTAAACATTTTACTTCAGTATCAATGTGAAATCTATATTCTAATGGACCCATTTTCAAAACAAAGTTTTCCTTTTTTCAAATGCCCTTTTTCAAACAAATTCCATTGCTTATTCATTGAGGGCTCTTTCAAGAACAACAGCAAGATTAGGAGAGTGTCATCACAACTTCCATCAAGGATTCTAATATGGTTGTCAACGCTTTTAACAGCTTTTCAGGTCATCATAGATTTTCTTGAATTCTTTTCTGAGCAGACATGGCTGCCAACAATACAGAAAAAATTGCCTACAAAAGCAGGAAATTTGAAAGTACAGGATGCAGATTGTGCAAACTGTGCATCAAGGAGTGCATTTCAAAATTTTCACATGCTCATCATGATTTTTTGGAGAATCCACCAGGTGACGGTCCACTCTCTTGTCCGTGTCTCTTGGGAGGAACACATCCATTTGACAGCAGACGATTAAAAATTCAATGAATTTTCATCAGATTTTAACATCCATACAATAACCTTGAAAGGCATCAGTGTTGAGCAATTAAAATAAAACGAAAATAAACATACCAAGAAATAATGAACGCACAAATTACGGAAAATCCTTGCAACCTTAAGAAACTTTTTTAATAATAAATGCAGGATAAAAATGTCTCTTGATTCTCATATACAAACATTTTTTTTCCTAAGAAAACCTGTCTGAAAAAACTTTTTTGTACTATTATTTTTCGTTTACCTCTACAATTTTTTTAAACAGTCACTGCCACATACAAGAAAAATAGTTTTAATTCCCCCCCCCCTCCCTCTCTCATTTTGACTGATTTCCGTAATGATTTTTGTTTCACCCTTTTTTAGATAACTCGACAACTCTTCTTCACTTCCTGGTTAGAGCTTACATGAAACAGTGCTCTGATCCTATGGATGAGCCACTCCCTGTTCCTGAACCCAGTGATCTTGATAAAGCCTCCAATGCTCGCTTTGATGACATCACATCACAGCTCCAAAATTTAGCGAAGGATTTAGAAGGTCAGTCTCGCATTTATAGTAACATCTGTTATGTACAGTTTGCCAAAAAAACTAATGATTGTATGATAAGACTTGTTGTATCTGAGGACGATACGGTATCTGTGGAAAACAAATTTGGACACCAGAATTGATGAGGTGTCGATAAGAATGAAAAGTTCGTATGAACTGTCTTGTTTTTTGCGCATTGAATCCGTATTCTGTAACCTGGATTGATTGTTCGCATTGAAAATGCTCGTATAAACGTAGCTGATATCTAAACTGACTTAATAAAACCAACACAATGGTCAGGAAAAAGTGTATATGTAGAAAGGTCTGGTATTCGACCAGACCAAGAGTACTAACTATTCTCAGATTGGAGAGGTCACACAATCCAATGCAGAGTGAGAACGAAGAACTAGAGCTAAAGGAAGAGGTTGTCCTCCTTCAGGTTAAAATTAGAATGAATATCTCATCCGACCACGTGTGGTTTTACTTGTGCATACACAGGGCATTAATTTTATTCTTTTTTTCTTTTCTTTTTTTGCTAAGTTTTTAAGTGATGGGATTGAATCATTTTCAAGAATGAGAGAGGTAGTGGAAGAAATTTACTTTGGAGATCAATAAATTGAGATGTAATACTCTTGAGTGATAATTTGTTAATGAATTGAAAAAAAAATAAAAATTAAATAAAACTAAATAAGTCAATCTAAAGAAAAGAAAACTGATAAGAGATCTAAGGAAAAGAAATAAAGAAAATGAAAAATGAAAGAGAGTGAAAAGGGGGAGGGAATTACGTACCTATTTCCAGTAGCCTGTATATGTTTATGCCATCTTAAATAGCCTCTGGATTACCAATCTAACACCTTCCCACAGGGGGGAGGGGGGGACTGAATGACTGAATTCGTGTCTTTAATTGCAAATCATGAAGTATAGTAATAAATGACATCATTATCGTTATTATTAATTGTTTTCAGTGCATGAAAAAAAAATGGAAAAAGTCATAACAGAATCAACGGAGGAAAATGTGGAGCCTTTCAAAACGAAAATGGAGGCATTCGTCGTCCACGGTAAGGCTAATGGTTTGATTTTTCACCTCTTTATATTTAACTTTCATCAGCATTGAACAACTCAGCATTTTTAACATGTCACTAGGAAATGTTTATGAATAAAAATTCTCATTGAATCTAATCAGGATTCTAATAACTCAGCAACTCATTATCAGTGTTAGTACTATTTCAGACACTTGTCCACTCACCAATTGAAAACTGCAACGGTGATGATGACTGCTACTATCAGGTTGATAGCTTTAACCTTTCTCATGAGGGAACATAACATTTTTCTCATAAGTGAATCCATAGATTATGCGCGAACATGCTCACCGTCACTATTGCCGAAACTGCGAACACAGAAATCTTGGTCTGTGATGCTGCAGACCTCCTGTCATAATTCATTTTCTTTACGGAAAAACATGAAACATTCTATCTTAAAAACTTCCCGGATTTTTATTCTCCTTGTCAAGAACGCTCCGCAAAAATTTTAAGCAACAGTGTTGGTTTTGTCTCCTTTGATGAAACGGGGACCCAGATTTTAAAACACCGCCAACAAAATTCACATTTTGGCTTTGCCCCCAGTGGTATGAACTTTGAATATTTGAATGCTTTTCAGTCTATCAACACAACCTGATTTCTTGCGAGATCTCATCCTCCTGCAGTGTCCAACTTTGTCAAAGCAACCGGTTTTATGAAAGTACTGGGAAAATAAGGTTCCAACTCACATATGATTGACTAAGTTGCAATTTTCAAGTAGCTAGACCAAGAAACTTATTTAGCATTGCAAGGAAGCACCATTAAAATTAAATTTCTAATTAATCCTCAACCAGCTGTGAGATGGATGTTTGCTTCCATGTCAAAGGCCCCTGGTTATTAGTCGTCGGGAATATTAATTTTGCTGCAGCCTTCTTTCTAATTGAGTAGTTTCTTAATTATTTTCTAAGCAGATATTAAGGTTTCTTCTCTGTTTCAGCCAAAAAATGCCTGAGCGAAGAACAAGAAAATTTAGAAGACTGCAAGAAAAAGTATGTATCGTAAAAGAGTAACATTTATTTGATTTTGTAGTTGAGAGTTAAAGAACTGTAAGTAACTCGTACTTTTGGAAAAATCGAGTAATTTGTATTCTCAACATATTTAGTAAAGGATCCATATGTGTAAACAAAATTGGATGTAATATTTAATACTAAGTCCAAGATGCAGATTTTATAAATTTGCAAAATAGGATGCAGGCGGTAGGGCTATCGCCTGATCTCTGGAATTAGTGAGATTGTAATTACAGCTCTTTGCCCTTAAATAGGTGCAGAATTAAAATTCAAGCTTCTCAATGGTTTAACTGATATGACTTGTGTGAGAACTACTTATATATATTGTCTATTTTGTTCATTCTTCACTTTTTAGAACGAGGAGTTTGCGCTTCGGTAGTGTTAGATCAAACTTTGTTTTGCATTTTGAAATCTTTTTAAGAGATCTTATGAAGATTTACCTTTAAACATTGCGGGAAGTTTGGATTTTACATTTAAGGTCTGAAACAATGGAATTTATAAAAGGAAGGATCCTATCAATTACTCACATACCTCTCGTAAACATGCGCACCTCAACTTATAATGCTGCAGATTTCTTTTCATAATTTGTTGTAAATGAATTTACGTATTGTTCCTTTTCTGTAACCACTTTATAAGCAACAGCCTTGTATACATATTTTTTCTTCAACAATTTATCTTCACTTTTTGCAGATTTCTGGCAACCATCAACTCTTACTGCTTCAAACCAAAAAGTGGCTCTCAGGAGTCAGACATTAGTCCCAAAGATTTTTTTCAACTATGGGTATCCTTTTGTTCAGACTTTAAGGATATTTGGAAAGTAGAACAACAAAAAATGATTAAAGAAAAGTAAGTCTTGAGTTCAATTACTTTATTCAATGAAAAACACCACCCACAATCTATGTGGTACCTAATCATGTTTATTCTGTTGACTGCCCAGCCAGCGCGCAGGGGCCAGCCCTTTTGAGTCTACATCAGAAACTCTAATTTCTAAGGCAATACTTGAATCTAGCAACAGTCCCATATTGACAACAACATGAATTTTAATTTGTAGCACTCAATTTTCAAATTGAATGCAGCCAACAGTTTCAGTTTTCAACAGCTTGCCTCTTACAGTTATCACCAGTTTAAAAGTAAATTTTTTATTCACATCATTCTTCATAGGTCAAAACTGAAAGAACAATCGATGTTTTAAATTTTCAAAGAACTACACTGGTTGTGAACTTTTAACCGCTTAGTTCTGTATTGGAATCGGTTTCAGCATTGAACAGATTGTAAATCTGCTCATTCTCGAAACAGGTTCTTCTTTAATGGTGAAGGGAAGACAGCAAACTTGTCTAAACCAGGTTCTGGTGACGTATCCTCTCTGGCATTATTATATGGTCCTGAATGTTCCTGTCACATCTTCCCTTAGCAGCGTTACTGCAACAGAAAATATCTATTAGAATATTGTGCTGACGTTATTTCAAGGATAGTAATTTCAAGATGAAATTTGAGTTTTCAACATTTTTCTCCAATAAAGCACCCAAATTAGGAATATCCAATTATTTGACAGCCGCAAATCACAACTCATGTCGAATTCTCAATCAACGAAGTGGTTGCCTCTGATTTGTGTGCTACTTGCGACAGTATGGCTAATTGTACGCAATTTTTACCAATGGACACCCTCAACCTCCCCAATAAATGGTCTAGAAATGTCCCCCAATCATGCTCCTGTTGCGAGCGATGACAAAATTGAATCCTGTCATCCTGTCATTCCTTTCATTTAAAGGAAATTTCGTATCATAAAAAATAGAGAGAAAAAACTTTTTCCCTGGCCCCCTAATTTGATACGAAGATCTTTGAAATGCATTATTGCAGATGAAAATCATCATCAATTCATTAGTTGCAATTAATTTATGAAATTTTTCTTCCAAAAAACTACAATTCATCTCTTCTTTGACTGGAGAGGAAAAAAGGAAAAAAATAAATCTATTAGTTTCAATATTATTTCATTGAAATTTTTGCTGACTGATGGGAGCGTATCTTACCGCCAACATCATAGACTTTTATTCTGGAGGGTAGAAAAAACCAGAGGAAAAGTTTTTTTTTTTAAGTATAAAATTGAAAATAAAAATTTCTTAAAAGTAGCTAGCATAAGATTCGAACCTGTGATCTCGCAGCTATTAAACCAGCGCAGAGAAGTTTTGCTACTTGCTACTTAGCAAAAAAACCTACAAAAATCATTTCTGATACTAGTTTATATTGAACAGGATTTGGAGGGCTCATTAGCAGTGACTGAAAAACCCCATCAATCAACTGGGCCTAAACCATCTATTGCTGCAAAACCACATAAAAATCAGAGGTGGTCGCTTCTGAGTCTCCCCTTGTCAGCAATGTTCTTACGCCCATTGTTTTGAATGAAATGTAACACTATTAATCATAGACTTTAAAGGGAATGTATTATTAATGTCACCCAAGTTAAGACTGTTTTTTTTTTTATTTATAGGTGGAAACAGCTGGAGAGAAAGAAAGAAGAACAACGCAGCCAAGTTGGCAAGCAAAAAATACAAGAGGGAAGCCTAGTAAGTTGTTTTAAAATTACATTTTTTTCATCAGTAGATTTAACATTAATGCCTTTTCTTTTTAGCTCCGAAATGAGTCAATTGGGAAAGTTGTTTCGTGGTATATGAGCAATGATTGTGAGGCTGTAGGAGACAGTTCTACACAACTGAATTCTTGCCAAGTTGTACTAACTCAGTATTTCATAATTTGGTGGAGTCAAAGAATAATGGCAATTGCAGAGTTCATAGCAAAAAGGCACCAGTTTAGATTCTTTTTTACATTGAGTTTTGAGTGCAGAAACTCTGTTTGTAAAAATTGAGTTTGCCTCTTTTTGAAAGAAAAATCTTAAGTCGACTCTAAATAAGAGCGGAATATTATTCAAACAACATCATAGGAAATAGTTCAACTGCTGCCATGTAATTTCGTGAAAGAATGTAAAGAATTATGCAGAGAGACAATAGGCATTCTGATTCCGCTAGCCTTTGCCTGTGCTAGTTAAAGTGACCAAAAAAGAGGCCTTCTCGGGCATCTTTGCATGTTTGCCTTTAAGGACTTCAGTGCAAGAGGGTCTTTTTGGGGTGTCAAGTTTCAAACATTGCAAGTACCTATGAAAGTTCATATTGTAATACTCCCTGTCGCAATAATTACACAAATTCACAGAGAATTTTTCGTGTTTCAGACTGCCAGACTCAGAGCCCTCACACGGAACAAATAGAAGTATAGATTCGCAGATTGAAAAAATAATTATTTTGGGAAATCATTTTAATTTCCTAGTCCTGCAACCGGCTATTCAAGTTTTAAGTTATTATTTACCATGTGATGTTTACATATATTTTATTTTATATTAAATTATAATAATTAAATTAAAGTAAAAAATAAATTATTTTATATTTTTGAAACAACTCTTTTTTTTTTCAAAGTCTAGACTATGACTATCCTCGACCCTTGCTCCAATTTCAAAAGCTTCACTTTGACTCCTATCGGTCCTTCTTCTTAGTAATGTATAAAATATAAAACTGTAAGTGGGAAACATGGACACTCACCTTTGCGTGCTACTATAGTGGGGGTAGAATATAAATGTAGTCTTCGCATGTTCCTTTGCTGAACCCTGTTTTGAGGCAGATTCATTTCCTCCCAACTGCAAGGGGAACTTCGGGGAGGAGTTCATCCTGGTTTTCTCTCAGTATTCAAGTGATCTCGACCGCGCAAATTTATATTAAGTCACACCACTTTGTGTCGTCGATCTGAAGCAAGAAAACAAAGAGCAATTCAAATTTACTTTTTTTTCCTTCAAAAAACAGTTAACAATCAACGGAGACATAATCAATATAATTCTGGTTAAACAATCAATTTTAATTGGGCCAATTTTTTCTTTTCTATATTGAAAGTTTTTTTTTTTTTTTTTTTTTTTTTTTTTTTTTTTTTTTTTAATAAGTAACTTGATCAATGAAATACCTCATGGGCTAGATATTTTTTTCAAGTGTTTTCTATAAATACAGGAGGCACACATTTACTGAGACACCGCAACTTTAACAAAATAGTTTTCGATTGACTCTTCTCAACTATGTCTGAACTTTGGCAACAAGAAAAAAAGCGATTATCAAATAAAGTGGAAAAGGCACCTGGACACTCGCACCACAAGCCTTGCCCTCACTTCAGAAAATTGAGAATGGCAGTCTTCATGTTAACAGTGGGTATCAGTTCAAATATCACCAAACTTTTGAGATTTAATTTTTTCAAGGCTTTAAATGTCTAATTTGACCAAGTTCTGTCTGTATCTCATGTAAGAGTCAACGGTAACAGAACAACTAATCAGAGTAAAAAGTTATATCAGCTCTTGATAAGTCCCAGTAAAATTTTTGCCACTGATCAAGACCAACCCACACAGGTCAGTCATTGCGTATCTTTTTGAAAGCCACTTCCCCGCCTGGCCCTAACTCGGCGGCACTCAATGCTACGTCACACTGGGTGCTTCCATATGAAATACATTGCAGGCACTCAATACTAGGTCACTACGCAGTAGAGTACCAAAACTCGTCCTTGGGAATGACTGACCTGTGTAGATTGGTCTTGCCACTGATTGATAAAAACAGTAAACCAGAGGACAAGGTCAAAATATGGAAGCTCATGATTCAAAATCTATGAGGGGAAATTCAAAAATATTTTAGAATTGTGCATATTTATAAAAGAGTCGGGAAAATTTAGTACTTGACTGGATATCATAGTCCCTGTTGCATATTCACTATCACACTCCATGATTTCCTTATTTTAAAGCCACTATCCATGGGTATTGTTTCATCATAAATTCTGTGACGAGTGTGATCTAAACCAGAAGTTCCGATCTCCTTTCCCACCATACAACTAACCATTTGCACTTATCCTCTTCAGGAACACTTGAACTCAAGCACTCACTTGCATTCAATTTTTGTAAAAAAATAAACAAAAATGCCTCTCTTTAGGCCTTGTCTCCACGGGACGTTTTCATGGGATTTGTCCCAAGTTCGAATGGCAGGAATGAAACTTCTGGGATTTTTCCCAGTTACCGTCTCCACGGGACGGGGCTCATACAGTCCTGCGACTAGTTTGCGCGGGAAGATAACTTGGTTTAAGTCGAGTATTTAACATGGATTAAAATCAAAAATTGCACTCAATTGACAATTAGTTACATTAATTTAACCAAACAAAAATGAACAATGGAGTATTCAACAAAATATCGCATAATTCGTTTACACTTCTTCTTCTTCTCTTAGTGGGTCCCAAGGGTAAAAGGACCATACTTGGTACTGGGAAAAAAATTGATTAACTCAATATTTTTCCCAACTTCGTAAGTGGGATTTTTCCCTGGGACAAATCCCGTGAAACGGCCCGTGGAGACAAGGCCTTAGACATGTTTTCTAAATTGATTTCAATCAGCAGATTTGATCACATGCAATTAATCATATGCAAATAGGACGTAAAAACTCCTACCATCGTTAATTTTTAATGTAAGAAGAAAAGAAAGAAAAATAGTGTTGAGTGAAAAAAGAATACAGTCAAGTTTATTGAAAATTCACAATAACTGAAATCAATGAAGAAACAGACAGTATGCAGAAAAGTTGATAAATAAAATAATGATCATATTGACATGTAGAGTAGCCGCACTCTGCTCAGCTGCTCCTAAGTATGCATTTCCATATTCTACACCCTTGGAACTCAACAAAGTTTGTCACTCTTATAGAGAAATGTACCTTTAAAAGTCAATGTTCCATCAGATTATTACGTGTCATATTTAGAGGTTGATTTATTAGAACTGAAGGCACAATAAAGAGCAATGAGCTTTACAGCATCGGCAGGTATTACTTTGCAAGACATCTGACTAAGTGAGGTATTAGCCAACTTATTCTACTGAGAATAAATTGTACCGACAATATTTTACAAAAGAAAGTCAGTATTTTTGCTCGAACACACTATTACAAAAACATTGAACAGAGCAAGTAAACGAGTTAATAATAAAAGTGTGTCAGAAAATATTTTTAGTCATGATCGTCGCTATGAATACTAGAGATACCAGGCCCGAATTTTATTGGTAACGATCGAACGCAAGTTGAGAAACCTACCCTCTTGATTCGACTATAAATCACAAGAATTATATCTTTAACTCAAGCTGCATGCAGGTTGAGCTTTTCTCCCAGTGGGCTCAAGCCATTGTTAGTGCCTTAACAGTGCAAAACGATAACTAGCGATTGAATGACAAAGTCAATATTCTTCCCTCAACTTGCGGCCGATCGGAAATCTGCCAACAAAATTACGGCCCAGAGTTGGACTCGGAACAAAGAAAGCATAGATTCCTTGGACAGCGAAGCAACGTTAAGAACTCGGACTTTTTCTTCGATTTAGCACACTTTTTACGTAAATAATGTCATGTTCAATTTTTAACACGGCAGTGATATACACAAAATTTGTAGCAAATCTATTTTGCTGAAAGGTTCTAGATACAGCCTCCTTCAAAAATGACATCTGCCTTGGAAATTTTTTCATCTTAAATTCAATCCGTTTGAGGAAATCTTAAGACTATTGTATAAGGGCTCATAAGAGTAGGTACCTATTTTAAAAAATAAGGATCCCCATTCTGGCGTTTAAAGATTACAAATAGGTAACTAAATCTGCTGAAGTCTATTTTCTCATGTTTCGAGTAGTGCTTCAGTGGTAATCCAATAATAACATTAAAACTCAGCATTTCTAAATCTCTAAATCCTAAAAGAAAATCCTTGAGTAAAAATCACTCTGGTCTAGGTCTTTCATATCCACCTATTGTCTATTGAATTTTGAGCTCTTTGCTTCCTCTTCTCTACAGGGTGATCCAGAAGTTGCGCATCACCTCTATAACTCTTCGGTTTCTTGCTCCTTTTCAGGAGAGTCCCATTAATATTTTGGGGGTCCCCAAAAGGTGTTCCCTTTAACCTAGGAAGCACTCACAAAATTTTAAGTTTCTACCTCAGTTTGCTAAAAAATTACAGGGGTGATACCAAGCCAGTGGTGTGGGACTTCTGCATCACCCTGTATATCTGAAGAAGCACTCAGACCAAGGGCATATATTCTGTATTGTCATTGCTAGGATTGTGCAGCTTTCAATACGATTCTTTACCCATCAGGAGCTTTTACTTTCCATGTTTGCCTTCTAAAATATTTTAATTTTACAAGGTAATTTTCCTGAATATTCTAGGCAAGGTTAAGTTAATTTTTACAGTCGTGAAAGAACATCAAATTTTTACGATCTTAGGAACACTAGATGGACACAAAATAGTGCTTAAATTTCTACTCTACATAACACTTTGAAGACAGGCAACAATGAGATAAAGTGAACGACTTACCTTTTTCACATAAAAATTCATTAAATAATTTTTTCCTCTATGTGTCAGAATCTTAAGACGCTATACATATCTTTCAGTACAATTTATCGTGTTTCCACCGGTTCTTCCAACACATAAAATCACTTACACTCAGATTTCAACAAATATCTGTTGAAAGTATCACATTAATTGAAAAAATCTACAAAAAATTCCAACGAAAGCGCAAAAAAAATGAAAGAGAACTGTCGGCAATTATTTTGCCGAGAATTATATAATTAATTAGGACAAAACTTCTAAAAGAGGAAAACTGATACAGAGAAAAAATAAAAATATAAAAAAAAGATACATAAAAAGGTTTCAGTCTAAATTTACTAATATTTATCACAGCAACAGCAAAAAAGTGTGACTCAATTGAACCTCATTTGGCAATAAGGGACTACAATTTCTAGCTCATCCGCAACAACACTTATGTGCATAAGAAAACTAATGGTACATACGTTGTTGCTAAAGTGAGCTAGAAATTTTAGTTCCTAATAGCAAAATGTACTCCAATTGGCAAAAGAAATTCTTTAAAGATAGCAATGAAAGAGAAGGAATGAGGAAGGAGAAGGAACGAGTTCTATTGGACCCTGAATTCCCATTAGAGCCAATGCAAAGACCTAAGTGAAGTTACTAGTGCTGCAATTTCGCATGGGATCCTTGCGACTAATTGATTTTGGAGCTCATGAAAAATTTGTAATACCATTTATATCTGCTTAAATCCGTCTTGACCTTTGTGTAAATACATTCGACTCTCACCAAATGGTGCGAATGGTCAGGAAACAGGAAAAATGCCATTTTACAATAATTCAGCTGCCATGTAGTTTGTTTCTCAACCATTGGCTTCACCTCACTTTCATAACAGGCAAAGGATCCTGAGTTTACATGAGTTTTGCACGAGGTTGTACTGCAATAGG